GCATGGTGTTTTCGGCAATGGCAATCACTTCTAAGGATAGGGACTCTATTTTTAGTGCGAAATGTTTGAAAACGTATCCGTTTCTTTTCCGCGTCCCTTGAAATTGACGGATGAGGATTGGGATTTCATGCCTCCGAAATCTCCCTATTGTGATATGAAGTCGTGATATTGCCTGTATCCAAGTTGTACAGGTTGTAATCAAACACAGCATAACCTGCTCTTCATTTTACAACCCAAATACAACTTGCCCGAAACCGTGATGAGTAAACAGTACGCCGCCGAGCTTCGGCGATTCATGGCATTCCCCGAAACCCCGAAACGTGTCGAAGAACTCTCAGACCCTGCCTTCAGCAGCCACAGTCTTGTAAATGTTACGCCCGACAATGTGTGTCGCTATTTCAATCTCAAAACATTCGGGACCGAGACCCCCTCATCAGACAGCAAACCTACACAAGCTCGCTCAAACACAGTAAAAGCGCCTAAAAAAATTCTCAGCTCATTCATGCCGCGTCAGAATCTACCTTGGGACGACATCCGACTTGAAGGAAACCCAACTCAATCTTCAGCAGTGAACACATTAATCAAGCGCGTCATGAAGTTTGAAGTGCGTCATAAAGGGGTTGAGTCTCAGGCAGTGTGTGCGATCGACTTTCGTGAGTTCATGAGCATGCTGACGATTATTCGAACGAATGAGAAATTCATAACAATCGTTCGCTATCCGATGGGAGCCATTTTGGCTCTGCAATGGCATCTTATCGGCCGCATCGACGACATGATGAAAGTTCAGCTCAACAACATATCCATCAACCAACACCATGCATTCACTCTCATTTGCCAGCTCCGATGGTCGAAGAATATCGCTTAGGAGCGACAAGCGCCGCACCAGATTGTGTTGGCCTCTATGGATGATCGGTGTGTGTTCTACTGAATTTGGCTGTCTACTTGGAGTTGCGTGGGGACCAGCAAAGTTGTACCAGTTCATTTTGTTTGGTGATGGTGAAAATGGCGACAGATTTGCCAGGTCGATTCTCAAATTCACGTTCGACCACGGTCAGTTCACCAAATTAGTCGATGGTCATCTTGGTACACACAGTATTCGCAAAGGAAGCACGACATATTGCTCCCTAAACAGCGTTCCCAAAGACAACATCGAAATGCGTGCACGCTGGAAAGGCCAACGCAAGCAAATCGACACCTTTATTGATGTTGAAAGACCATTGCCTGATGCTCTCGCTGCTTTTTGTTTGTGTGGTCCCAATGGTGCCGCAAAGTATGCTGTGGATGCCGAATGGTGCACGGATGCATTTCTCAGTCAACAAATCGCACCAAATATTTGCAACCTCACAAACCCTGCTATTGCTCGTGTACTTGCATTGCCGTTGATCTATGCCGCCGTTCAGTTCAAAAGTGATTTCGATGCTAATTTCCAGCTCATTCCAACATCATTACGCGACCGTGTGCTTCGATCGGTCATGCAAGTTCAAGGTCTTGCCTCAACTGATGAAATACTACAGCCAATACGCCGTATACCAATTGTCGTTGGTGGTTTGGGTGGTCAATTACGATTTACTGAATTTGGAATGGAGCATGACCGAGAAATCCCGACTGATGGTAGTGTTGGCGCGGTTTTGGAGGAGTTGCGCGTGATTGAAAACGTCACGCCTGCAATTCAGTGACAGATTGAGCAAGTACATGCTCTTCAACAGCAAGAGCTGACGACGATGAAATGCCACATTGATCGTCGACTCGATGTATTGCTAACCAACGTCAAACGAATCGCAGCCATGCCATTTACAAGGCGAGACGCCAGCACAGCAATGCTCCAACCAGTGCTCCCACAACGACAACTTGTCCATCACAGCTGTCCAAACGCCCACCCTGTTTTCTCTTGGGAAAGTGTATGAGTTTGGAATTGGTGGCAACAAACCCGCAAAACACTTCACAGTCAAGGAGTGTGGTGCTGTAATGTGCACGTTCTCGCTTCGACTAATCTTTTGGAATGCTGTTGATTCGATGATTCGGCGAGGACACACGAGTGACACTGCTATTGATGCTGTCTACGCTGTATATGGACGCGGTAAGTCTGCAACTTCGATCTTGAGTGCCATGCGAGACGACAAATCACGTGGCGGACATCCCAACTTGTCGTAGTTGTGAAAATAGATTGATTTTAACCAATGAAATACAGGTTGCACGTGTGGTACTGTAGGATGTTTGGCAAAAACTCGAGTGATTCCGATATTCGTAAGTTCTA